GGCTGCGAGCGTGTCAAGGAAGCTGCCCCCCTCTGGCCTGCGACGGCGCCAACTAGACTCTGGCGAGGCGCGAGCTTGAGGCGAGAGAGAGGGGGGCGAGGCACGCCGCCGCGCGCTGCGCTGCACACTGGAGCGCGCCGAATGTTCCAGCGCCCTGCCCCGCTATCTCCGCGCCGAGGCGCTAAAGTCCGGGACGCGCGCGCGCATGGACCACGCCGTGCCGCGCTGTCCTTGTTCTTGGCCGAGCTGCTCGCAGTCGCCGCCTGCTTCTCCTCCACCACCACCACCCTTCTTGCCTCCCAGTCCCATGCCGCCCACTTCCTCTGCCGCGTCTACCGCCGCCTGCGCCGCCGCTGCAGGCGCAGGCGCAGCAGCCAAGGCCGCGCCCCTCTCGCGCGCCGTCTTTGCGCCGCGCCGCTGGCACGAGCGCGGCGCCGCCAACCACGGCTGGCTGAAGACGTTCCATACATTCAGGTGCGTCTGCCCTCACCCTCTGCGCCTTCTCGCATGCATCTTCTCTTGCGCCTCTTGTGAAGCAGCGAGCAAACTCGGACGGGCGGGGGGCGCACCCTCAACATGGTGCGCCTCGTTCGCTGGCTGTGCTGGACCTCCGCCCCCCGTGCTGCGCGCTGCCGAGGGTCACTTTGCTACGTTCTGCTTTGCGTTTGGGCTACGTGTTTGACTGGGCAACACTTGCCCCTCGACGCTGTCCCATGCCCGCTCGTCATGCCTCAGTTACGCCCTCGCTCCCCCTCTCCCTCACTCTTGCCTCTCACCGTTGCCTCCTCGCTCACTTGCGCCCCCTTTCACTTTCGCACCAGCTTCGCCTCCTACCATGATCCGCGCTTCGAGGACTTCGGGCCCTTGCGCGTGCTGAATGAAGATCGTGTCGCGCCTCGTACTGGCTTTCCAACGCATCCTCACAGCAATGCCGAGATCGTGCGTGTGTTGCTTCCGTCTCCCCCCCTCCCCTTCTCTGTGTCGAAGCCGGCGCCAAGGCTGCGGGGACTGACGCTGCGTTCTTTGCCGCCATTCGGCGCACAGTTCTCCTACGTCCTCTCCGGCGAACTGACGCACAAAGACTCGCTGGGCAACGTCGAGGTGCTGAAGCGAGGCGAGGTGCAGTTCACCAGTGCCGGCTCGGGCATTCGGCATAGCGAGTACAACGACCACCCGAGCGAGGCGGTGCATTTCCTGCAGTACGTTTTGTTTTTGCGCAGAGCTATGGAGCCAACTTTGACGCTGACGACTCGCATCGCGCAGGATCTGGTACACTCCCGACCAGCGCAACCTGCCTCCCAAGTACTACACGCACCCTCAAATCTCCGATGCGGCAAAGCGCGACGTTCTCCTGACCCTCATCCGTCCCGCCTCGACATTCACTGCGCAGGAGCTCTCCCTCACCGGCCTGCTGCCTGCCGGCCGTGCCATTCCCGCGCACGCCGCCCTCGTCACGCGTGCCTCGCTGTTGTCGCCGCGTGCAAAGGTGACGCATCAAGTGGGCGGCGAGACGGGAGAGAAGGAGGGTGAGCGATGGGTGTATGTGCATCTGGCCATGTCGAGCGGATGGAAAGACCCGGACGTGTATCGCGCTGCACTGCGCAAGGCGGTGCAGGGCAACCAGTCGCACAAGGATCGCCTGGCGCACGCCGCCAACTTTCTGGAGCACGTCTACGGCGAGGCGCCCGACTGGAGCACCACGGCCAAGTCGCAAGACGGCAGCGAGCACGCCGCGCGCAAGATGGAGAAGCAGCAAGCAAGACCACAGGTCACATTGACGTTTGCACAGAGCATCGATGGCTTCATTGCCGGACCGGGCAAGAAGCAGGTGGCGCTGTCTGCGCCCGAGAGTTTTGTCATGACGCATGCGTGAGTTTGGCCTCCCCCCCCCCCCCCCCCCCCCCCCCCCCCTCCCTCTCCCTCCTCATTTCTCTTTGGCGTCCGCCCGCCACGGCGACACCCTTGTCTTCGCTGCCAGGCTCGAGTGCGATTTGCTAGAGCTGACTCTGTGCTGATGAAAAAACTAGGATGCGCACAATGCACGATGGCATCCTCGTTGGTGTTGGCACGCTCAAGAGTGACGATCCGCAGCTCAACGGTGCGTGTGTCCGTTTGCCCTTTGCCTGTCCTCCACAGGTCGTCTTGCCCCCTCTCACACTCAATGGCTTCCCTATCCCCACAACAGCTCGTCTGCTCAATCCGCTCCCCTCTGGCGAAGCTCCCTCTCTCGCCTCGCTGCCGCGTCCCATCGTGCTCGACACTTCGCTCCTCACGCCGCTCGAGGCCAAGATTCTCGCCAACCACGCGGCGGGCACGGGCGCGCGGCCCCTGCTCGTCACCAGTGTCGGCGGCGCGCACGCCGCGCGCGCAGGGTGGGCAGAGCGACGTGCGGCGCTCACAGAGGCGGGCGCCGAGATTCTCGAGGTGCCTTCTTCCGCCACCGACGCTGCGCAGCTGGACTGGAAGGCTGTCCTTGCCGCTCTCGACGGCGCCGGCATCAAGAGGCTCATGGTCGAGGGCGGCGCCAGCGTCATCTCGTCTCTCCTCTGCGCACATTCTGCGTCGTCCGACGAGCCGCTCATCGACACGCTCATCGTGACGATTTCCCGACAGGCCCTCGGCGCTGGCGAATCGTACGTCGCTCCGACGTGGCTTGCGCGCACGCTGCTGCCGGGCAGCGTCAAGACGTCGAGGCGCGGCAAGGCGCGCGCCCTGCTGAGCAAGACGCCGAGTGCCGAGCCGTTCGGCATGGACTTTGTCCTCGCCTGGGGCGGCGGCGCGCCGCCGAGTGCAGCGCAGGCGACGGTCAGAGTGGGCGAGACGGTGCTCGAGGAGGGCGACGGCGTGTTTGTCAGGCAGGCAAGGGTGGGCGAGACGCTCGAGATTGAGAACCTGTCGGCGAGAGATGCGGAAATGTGAGTGGCCTTGCCTCCAAAAGGGCGCAGAGGCTGAAGCAAGTGCGCTGATCCGACTCTCTCTCCCTCTCCCTCTCCCTCTCCCTCTCCCTCTCTCTCTCCCTCTCTCGCAATGCAGCGTTCTGTTCGACGTCAAGCCAGAGCACTAGTGTTGCGCACGCCACGTCAATGCATTTGCTGGCCTCCTCACTTTGTCACCAGCCCTTGATCTGCCGGTGCGCCTTGCCGAGTGCCCAGATGGTAAAGGAGTGCACGTAGTTGGGGTAGGAGATGGAGCAGTTGCGGTTGAAGACGCCCACCGTGTCTTCGTCGCGCCACTGGCCGTCGGCCTGCTGGCGGCTCATGATGAGGCGCACGCCTCTGCGGATGGCCTCGTGATCCTCGCTGCCTGCGTGCAGCAGCGCAATGATGGCCCAGCTCGTCTGCACCACCTGGCTCGTCTTTGCCTGCACGTACGTGCCCACAACGCACGACTCGAACGCCTCGCCCCAGCCGCCGTCGGCGCGCTGCTTGGAGAGCAGAAAGTGGCAGGCGCGCCGCACCGCGGCGCTGTTGCCGCAGCTCTGGCCGCTGAGATGAAGAGACTCGAGGGCGAACATCATGGCGTAGGTGAAGCAGACGGCCCACGAGCCGAACCAGGAGCCGTCGGGACGCTGCGCGGCCATGATGTACTTGAACGCCGCCTTGACGCAGCGGCTAGAGAGAGAGAAGACGTCAGCACTCGTGCGATGGCGCAAGCGTATGGGCGACGCCCCCCACACTCACTCGATGTCGGCAGCGCGATAGTCGCTCATCTGCTTGAACTTGAGCAGGCCCGTCACGACGCTAGTCGTGCCTGTGGGGGGAAGGCGTCGTGATATCAGCCCTCCTGGCCGTCATCTCGCGTCGCTCGAAGAAGCCACGCACACTCGGGATAGTCGTACTCGATCATAATGTCGCCAAACACCTCGGCCGGGTTGATCCACTCGAGAATCTTGGGCCCGTTGATCGTCTCGTAGCTGGCGAAGCCGCCGCTCTTGTTCTGCATCGTCAGGAGCAGGTCGACGCTGTCGCGCAGGCGCGCCTCCGAAATCTGCTCGTCGAGCCTAGAAGTGAAGATGGAGCGAGACAAGGCATGAGCAAGAGTCATCGCGGGGCCCCACGACGCCTTCTCGAGCACTCACCCCGCGTCCTTCTGCAGCATAATCACCGCCTTCATGCCCTCTGCCGTGCAGTCGCTGACCGTGTAGCCCTGCTCCTTGGTGCTGAACGGCCAGGCGCCCTTGGTGGCGAAGCGATAGGCCGCCTTGTGATGCCGCGGATTCTCGCGGATCTGGCACTCGTCGAGCCAGTGCAGCACGCGTGCACACGCCGCCTTGTTCTCGGCGTCGTCGACGAGGCCGGAGTCGACGAGGGCTTGTGCGATGAAGGACGTGTCTGTTCGCGCACTGAAGGATGAGCAAGGTAGGGCTGGAGGTGAAGGGCGCAAGCACTCACCCCAGAGCTGACTGCCGTTGGTGCCCGTCATGCGCATGCCCTCGGGCCCCATCCACATGAAGTCCTTGAGCTTCTCGCGATGTTGGCGCATCACGTCGCTGTCTGGGCCCTCGACGTCCCAGCGCACGAGGTAGTTGAGCATCTTGTTGACGGGTCCGATGCCCTGGTATCCCGTGTTCTCATCCTCCATTACCACCATCTCGTATGCGCGCCGGATGCCCGCCTCGCGCAGCGCCGCAACCGGCCCGAGCATCTCGTAGCCGGCCAGCACGCCCATCAGCGCCTCGAGCGTGCGCGTGTGCGGGGCCCAAATGTCGACCTGCGCGACGTTGTTGCGCTGCCGGAACCAGTTGATCGTGTCGTATGGCTGCGTATAGAGCTCCTGCGCAAAAAGAGTTAGGGCAAAGCCCAAGGGTCAGCGCGCCGCAGAGACACGGGCGCGGAGTGCTGGGTGCGCACCTCGCGCAGTTGTTGCAGAAAGGGATTGAGCGGCACTGAGAAGCGCTTGGCCCAGAGATAGCCCATGGGCAGGTAGACCATGCGCGTGTGCGGCCACCAGCGCCAGGGGTGAATGGGAATCGCGTCGGGCAGCAGCCTTGAGCTCGCAGGTCAGCGACCACTTGTGCACAGGGGCCCGAGCGAGTAGGGGACGGGGAGTAATACGCACCAGAGCTCGGGCGGCACAGGATGCAGGCCCTCCCAATCGTACACGCCAAGAATCGCCAGCCAGAGCTTGCCCCACGCCGGTGCGCCCGTCGCTCCTCCTGTGAGAAGGGCCGGATCATGGGCGCATCAGTCACCACTGTGGCCCCGCACAGATCCTCCCTGCAGCGTCTGGCAGCGCTCTCCAGGGGGGCAGAAGAGGACTGGGGGGAGGGGGCGCACGCACCGAGCTTGTGCAACAGGCCGCGAGCCTTGACCATGACGGGCTCGTCGGCCGCCATGCCGAGGATGCGGCAGGTGACGTAGTTGGTCGCGGTGCCGAAGACCGTCGAGCCGCCGGCGATGTGCCTGTTTGTTCGGGGCGCAAGCGAGAGTCAGCGAGGCGAGCGTCGAGGTGGCAAGGCGAGGGCCGAGGGGCGGTACATCAGGGCTGGCGCCTTGGCCCACTCGGCGCCAGCCCAGTTCTGCCCTGCCCTTGCCCATTCTCGCCGGCCACTCACAGGCCCCATCCGCCATCCTCGTTGCACTTGCTGCGCAGATATCGGCGCATCTCGATGCTCCACTCGCGCGGAATGGGCGTGCCCGTGGCATACATGCCAATCACGAGGCCGGGCATCAGGAAGAGCGGCCCGCCATAGTCGCCGGCCCAGTGGCCGTCGCGCGCCTGGATGCGCCGGTAGAAGGCAAAGCCGTTGCGCGCGGCGTCGAGCGGCGTGGTGGCGCGTGGAAGAGAGGGTGCGCCCTGAGAAGCGAGAGAGAGAGACAAAGACGTCAGCGCCATGCTGCAGCGCCCACTCCTGGTGCCACAGCTGCGCGCAGCTTGCGGCGCCGCGCTGCCTGCCCTTGCTGTCTCACGTGCGCGAGACTCACCACCTCGATGCCGAGCCAGTACTTTTCCTCATCGCGCTGCGGCTCTGCCGTCTGTGCTTCCTCGTGCGAGAGGTACGTCCAGACGTGTCTGCCGCCGCCCTCGTGCGAGTTGAGGCGCCAGCGCGAGAGGTCGGTGCGCTCGACGTCCGGCGCGGAGACGGCCGACGTGGAGGCGGCCATGGTGTGAGCTGCCGCAAGCGGCGAGGCGTGGGCGCTGCGCTGAGAGTGGTGGTGGTGAGGAGAGGTGCGAGGAATAGATTGGAGGACGGGAAGAAACGAGCTGCCGGGCCCGGCGCTTTGACCGCTCGAGCCCTCGCCGAGCCTAGCGCGGGGAAGGCTGCCGCCGCGCGGCACGCGCCCCGAGAGCCATGCAGCGCGGCCCGATCTCCGCTCGCTCCCGTCCTCTTTCCGCTTGTCTTCCGCAGATCCGTCATCGGACACAGGCAGGCAATGACTTGACCTCGCCGAGCACAGCCCCTGGACAGCCCCTCGGCGGTCCGGCAGAGGAGCGAAGGCGGAATTGGGCGCGAGGGTGCACTTCGGGAGCTGGGCACAAGCCCGAGTCCCGCTTTCCGCGCGTGCTGCCGCCCCTCCGCGTCCCGCAGATACGCTCTCAACTGCCCCTCTCGCGCTCCGGTGAGCTTCCGAGCCCGGGAGCAGCCAGCGCAAAGCAGAGCTGGTCCATGGAAGAGTCGGCGCAGATCCTCCCTCCCCTTTTTGACGGCCGGTCCGAAGCCCGGAAAAGGGCCTTGGCAGCGCGCGATCGGGGTGCCCCCGGCGAGGTGCGCGTCTCGCAGCGCTGGCGAGCCCGATGCCGCTCAAGGCTGGCTGTGCTGCTGTCTGAGAACTGGACGGCGCAACAGTCGCCGTCATTATCACCTCGCGGAGGCTCGAGAGCCCATGCTTTGCGTCTGGGATCTCTGTTGCACATTTCAGTCTCTTGCTCTTGCCTTCAGCCCGTCGAAGCCAAGGCCCTGGACCGCGGCCGGTGCCTGGCACAGCCATCTGTTGTCGCGGCTGCGCTCTCCCTGCCCAACGGCGAGGCAGCTAATCTGGCCCACCGTCACAGCCTGACACGTCGCATGCTCTCTCGAGTGTGCCATGAGCACTTCTCGGCGACAGCACGAGCGTGCTGCGATCTTGTGGGGAATGTGAGGCGGTGGGGCCAGGCAGGTGACGAGAGAGACTCCCCTCTTTTGTTCATTCGTGGCCTCAGCTTTAGCGCGCCGCGGCGAGCGCCCGCCAAAACACGCGCCGGCGAGGGCCACGACAGTCCTGGGCCACTGCCGCACGACGAGGGAGCGCAAGGCGCGCACCGCAGAGGAGCTTGTGCTTCAAGCAAGCGACCTCAGACTCAGCTGCGTCCTTCGCTCTCACCATCTGCATGGGGTCTTGCGATGGCAGTGTGAAGGGGACCGGGAGGCGCAGGCGAGGCGCGCGGCGGGAAACGCAGCGCCTCTCGTGGCCGTGCGCGCCCTCTGTCGCCTCCAGGCACTTGGGCAGTCTCCCTGTCCCGCGTGTGTTTCTTTGGAAGGCCGCGCCAATGCCCACACTGCTCTCGTGCCGCGGCGCGCGCCAGACGCGTCCGCCACCCGGCGGCAGATCAGCGCCTCGCTGGCGGCGGCAGCAGCGGAGCGCGACGGCGACGGCGGCGCTGCTGGCCGTGCGCCTTTGGGCTCTCAGGCGCCAGCCGCCAGCTCAGGCGCGCCGCCAGCAGCAGCGAGCGTGCGCCTCTCGCTGTGCTCGTCGCGCGCGGCGCCGTGCGGCAAGCGCGCGTGCCTTTGTCGTCGTCGTCGCCGCCGCCGTCCCGCCGCTCTGCGCCTCTCCTCACCGTCCACCCCCCTCTCCTCCTCTTCACGCCCTTCTCTCTCCTCACACTCCACTCCGAACACTCCACTAACGACCATCCAGACAGATTCGACAAGATGAGGGAGATCGGTGAGCATGGCCCCTCTCGAGAGCCTCTGCCGCGCGCGAGGAGAAGGAGGCGGCAGCGAGACTGGCTCAGGCGGCCGAGCTCGTACGGCTCCTCGTCCATCGAGAGGCTGCTGCCTGCCGGGGGGCGGCTTGCTGCCGCCTTTGCTGGCTGCCAGGGTGGCATCGCTGCCCCGCGGCCTCGCAAGAAGCGCCGCGGCTGGTCCGAGCGCGACCTTCATGCTGGCCGAGGAGCGTGTCCTCTGCACCGCGCATCGGGCTGGCATGTCCAAGCCATGCCATTCTCTCCATGCCGTGCTCTTCGTAGAAGCGCACGTCAGCTGATCCGCTACCCTCGCGCAGTGCACCTGCAGACGGGCCAGTGCGGCAACCAGGTCGGCGCCAAGTTCTGGGAGGTGCTCTCCGACGAGCACGGCATCGACTCGACGGGCGCCTACCACGGCACGACGGACCTGCAGCTCGAGCGCATCAATGTCTACTAGTGAGTTCGTTGCGCGCGGGAGCGAGCGAGCGAGAGAGAGAGACAGAGGGCATCGCGGCGGGCTGCAAGGGCAGATGGGCTGCTTGCGCTGCCTTGGAATAGTTGCTCGCGCCGCCCCCGCGTGCACGAGCTGGCCCGCTGATCCCGCTGCGCTGCCAGCAACGAGGCCTCGAACGCAAAGTACGTGCCGCGCGCCGTGCTCGTCGACCTCGAGCCGGGCACGATGGACTCGGTGCGCTCCGGCCCCATGGGCGGCATCTTCCGGCCCGACAACTTTGTCTTTGGCCAGAGCGGCGCCGGCAACAACTGGGCCAAGGGCCACTACACTGAGGGTGAGTCGCGAGAGTAGGAGAGAGCCAGGCATGACGGAGCGAGGCTCGGAAATGAGTGTTCAGTAGGACTGACGATTTGCCTCGCCCCTTCCTGTTGCTTCTTCTTGCCTCGTGCAGGCGCCGAGCTCGTCGACTCGGTGCTCGACGTGGTGCGCAAGGAGGCCGAGGCGTGCGACATGCTGCAGGGCTTCCAGATCACCCACTCGCTCGGCGGCGGCACCGGTGCCGGCATGGGCACTCTGCTCATCAGCAAGATCCGCGAGGAGTTCCCCGACCGCATGATGGCCACGTTCTCCGTCATGCCGTCGCCAAAGGTGAGCCTGTCTGGGAAGAGAGGGTGGAACAATGCGGTGCAGAGCCGGAGATGGGCACAGCGTGCATGCGCGATGGTCGCCTGCCCCGTCGGCGCTCTTGCTGCACCTGCACTGGCAGCGCTGCGCCTGCTTTGCTGTAGCGCGTATCGCTGCCGCTGCTGCTGCCTCTGTGATTGCCCGTCTTGCCGTTCATCTCGCTCAACACCACCTTGCAGGTGTCGGACACCGTCGTGGAGCCGTACAACTGCACGCTCTCGGTGCACCAGCTCGTCGAGAACTCGGACGAGACGTTCTGCATCGACAACGAGGCGCTGTACGACATTTGCTTCCGCACGCTCAAGCTGGCGACGCCCAAGTACGGCGACCTCAACCACCTCGTCTCGATTGTCATGAGCGGCATCACGACGTGCCTGCGCTTCCCCGGCCAGCTCAACTCGGACCTGCGCAAGCTCGCCGTCAACATGGGTGAGTGGAGAGAGCCAAGGGAGTGCCGAGCCGATGGCAGTGGCTCACCCCTCTCCCCCCTCTCTCTCAGTGCCGTTCCCGCGCCTGCACTTCTTCATGGTCGGCTTTGCGCCCCTCACGGCGCGCGGCAGCCAGCAGTACCGCGCCGTGTCGGTGCCGGAGCTGACGTCGCAGATGTTCGACAGCAAGAACATGATGGCCGCCTCGGACCCCAAGCACGGCCGCTACCTGACGGTGGCGGCGTACTTCCGCGGCAAGGTGTCGATGAAGGAGGTCGAGGACCAGATGCAGGCGATGCAGACGAAGAACTCGAGCTACTTTGTCGAGTGGATCCCCAACAACGTGCAGACGGCGCACTGCGACATTCCGCCGCGCGGCCTCAAGATGTCGGTGACGTTCATTGGCAACTCGACGGCCATCCAGGAGCTGTTCAAGCGCGTGGCGGACCAGTTCAGCGTCATGTTCCGCCGCAAGGCCTTCCTCCACTGGTACACTGGCGGTGAGTTTGCGCGGGGGCGGCGTCGGCGGCAGAGTAGAGGGGGGGGGGGGGTTCCGCGCGGCGGAGGGAGCAGCAGCTGCAAGTATCGCATTGGGAGCCGCAATCGCTGACCCCTCTCTTGCCTCCCCCCACAGAGGGCATGGACGAGATGGAGTTCACCGAGGCCGAGTCGAACATGCAGGACCTGATCAGCGAGTACCAGCAGTACGAGGCGGCCTCGGCCGACGACATCGACGAGGAGGGCGTGTACGAGGAGGAGGGCGAGCCGCTCGAGGAGTAAAGCGTGGTCAGCGAAGCGTTCTGACGCCCAAGTGGCTGCGCTGTCCGCAGTTGGTAGGGCGCAGCTTCTCTCGTGCAGCCCGCCCAATGTCGGTGGCCCAGTGCAACTCGCGCAAGGCCCCGCCCCCGATAGCGGCACTCTTCTTCCCTTCTCTCGTCTCCCCCTTCCCCTCTCCACTCCTTCTCTCTCCCCATCTTCGCCCTCTCGAGGGTGTTCTATACCTCTCACCTCTCGCGCCTCCTTCCCCCCCTCCCCTTGTTCCTCCGTCTCTGAAAGTCCGACCACCAACCCTCTCGCCGCCGCCTTCCTCCTCTAAACTTACCTACGCCCCATGCCTCGCTCCCGCCTCCCCCTCCTCATCCTCCTCCCTCCTGGGCGACGGCACCCGTAGGACGCTGTGGAAGAATCTGAAAGAAGCCGCCTTCTCTTCTCCTTCTCTTCTTGCCGCGATGCGGCTCTGGCTTGGAGAGGCAGAGGGTTGAGCGTCGTCGGCGAGAGGAGACGCGGGAACGGCGTGCCAGCAGAAAAGGAAGGCGCCGCACCCATCAGCATCCAGGAGGCAGACAAGCACCTTGCAGCCGATGGCGCACGATGAGATGCCGGGCGCAAGCGCAGCGCGTGGGAGCACGGCGCGCCGGCGGCTTTGTGCTGCTGCCGTGCGAAGGCGGCCGCGGCGCGGCTCACACGGCGTGACGCTCGGTCCGCTGGCTCGGGCTGCGGCTGGAGTGGGCCAGCGGCGCCTCCCTTGTCCTCCCCTCCTCGTCCTTCCTGCCCGGTCTCGGCGCGCCGCCGACGCCCCTCCTCTCTCGCTGTGCCGCTGCGCTTGTTCCATCTTGCCTCTCGACTCTCCTCTCGTCACTCGCCTGCTCCTCCGTCGCCCGTCCAGCGCAACGCCCCCATCTATCTGCTGCCTCCACGTCCACACCTCTCACGCACCCCACGCGCACGCACACGCGCGCCTCATCACGCTCGAGCCCTTGCACTGCGCAGCACTGAGAGTGTGCTTCTTTCGACGGACAAGACGCGCTGCACTGCGCTGCGCTTCCACGCGCGCACAGGCTCGCTCGGCTTGCTGCGCCGGCGCCTAGCGACCCCCCTCGTGGCGCTCTCGCTCCGCCCCAGCGCGCGCACGGCGCACCGCGCATCCGAGACGCCCTGTGCGCTGGCTCCGGCGAGCGCGCAGACGCAGCCCGTGCGCTCCTCTGCAGCAGCACAAGACAGGCTCGGGCGCGGCCCACCGCTGTGTCACGCACCACCAGCACCTCCGCCGCGTCGCTGCGCTTGCCTGGACGCCCCCGTCGCGCGTGAGCGTCGCAGCAGGCAGCCGTCATGGCCAGCGGCACACCCACCTCTCCCGCCTTCCCGCTGTCCGTCGGCGGCAGCGGTGCCGGCGGCGTCGGGAGCGCTGGTCCCTCGAGCGGCGTGGCAGCAGCAGGCATCGGCAGTCCCCTCTCGGGCGCCGCCTCGGCTGCGACTGCCTCGTCTGCGTTCCACTCGGCCACGTCGGGCAACGGCAGCAGACCGGCGACGCCTTCGTCCAGTAATGGCCTAGGAAGCATGGGTGGCATCACTGTCGAGGAAGGTGAGTGTTGTGCAGCGATGATGCGCGGCGGGCACACGTGCTAGCGGTGGAGCACGGCTGACGCAGGTGCTCGTGCCAGTGCGGCGCTGGTCGCAGCCCGACATTGGCAACTGGCTGCACTCCCTGCGTCTGGGCGCCCATGCGTCTACCTTTGCAGCGCACGACATCACCGGCGCCGTGCTGCTCGATGTCGAGCAGGCCGAGCTCAAGGAGATGGGCATCACCTCCATCGGCGACCGCATCCGCGTCTTTACCGCCATCAAGAATCTCAAGAAGCGCTGTGCCGAGAGTGCGGCGATGGCGACGATGGCACGCAACATGAGTCCCGTCATGACTCGCGCTGCGGCAGGCGGCGGTGGGGGAGAGATGGAGTACCTGCAGCAGGACGATGGGACGATGACGCATCACCATGCCAGTCCCCTCGGCGCCCTGAATGGCGCAAACGGTCGACGTGCCATCCACTCTCGTCCGCCTCCGCTGCATCTCTCGCAGTCGAGCTCGCACGACCTGCCCACGACGCCCACGGCTCCTTCGCCCGTCGGCAGCCTGAATGGCGGCCAAGGCCTGGGCCTCAAGGAGATGCGCGGCCTGGCGCAGCAGGCGGGCGGACGCATCGGCTCGGCGCGCAGTCCGGGAGTGCCGCCAAAGGGCCTGCCGGAACTCGAGGGCGCGGCCGCGGGCCTGGGACATCGCAAGATGGCCTCTGCGGCCGGCGCCACGTCTGCGGCGGCTTCGTTTGCGCAGCACGTCAGCCAGCAGCAGGCCGCAGGGCGCAGCTACGGCTATGGCACTTCGCGTCCGAGCACGGCTACTGGGGCTTCTTCCTCCTACGTGCCCGCCATCGGTCGAGGCGTGCTCTCGGGCGCAGCCACAAGCCCCACAAGCGCCACGCATGCCCCACAGCGCCCTTCGACGTCCGACGGTGCTCGTCTGCACAGTGCCGCGCCCGCGCGCCCCGACAATCCGCTGACGCCCATCAATGAAGGCTCGATGCGCTCGCCCACGACGCCTTCCTTCACTGGCGGCTCTGCTGCCTCGCGCGGCAACGATCGAGGCTATGCAGTGCGCCATGGGCCCTTCGGCGCGCGCAACACCGGCAGCGGCTCCTCTCCCGCCTCCGCTGCTGCAGCGGCGGCCCAGGCTCGGCAAGCGCAGCAAGACCAGCTGGCCAACTATGGCTTTCCGCCGCCCTCGCTCGAGGACCTCAAGCGGCGCACCATCAAGTTCATCGGCGAGGACGGCACGACGCGCATCGTGAACGTCTCGGACTGCAGAGATGCGCACGACGTGCTGGCGCGCGTGCTCAAGAAGTTTGGCAAGAGCTCGGCGGGTAACAGCTATGCGCCGACGGCGGGACAGGTAGAGGACGAGCGGGAGCTGGAGGACGGAGAGGTGTGGGGCATCTTTGCCACGAGCGGCGAAGGCAAGAGTAAGTGTGCCGCGCAAGCAAGCCGAGTGCCAACGACGGTCCCGCTGACCTCGAGACGTCTTCTTCCGCAGCCAAGTCTCTCACGGACAACGAGCTGCTGGCCATCTGCCACGCCCCGCAGCCTCACGATCCACTGCGCGAGCGCGGGCTCACACTGCGCCGCCTGGCGCGTCCCGAGTCCGGCCGAGCCAGCGCGCCGAAGCGCAACAAGCTCGAGTCGTTCTTTGGCGAGCGGCTTCCTTCGCAGGCCCCTGCCAGTCCTCACTTTGCCGACGAGGACGAGTACGACGACGATGCGGCCATGGATGCGGCCTTTGTGCAGCCGACGGGCAAGAAGCTCAACCGCGCGAGCACCGTCAGCATCATGTCTGGCCTCGGCGTCGTGCCCGGCAAGAGTGGCAAGACGACGACGCCGTCGAACTCGTCCAATCGTCTGGCTCCCGACTCGCAGCATCGCTCGCCAACATCCGTCATTCCGCGCAAGGCGCGCAACTTCTTCGGCCAGCGGCCGCCGTCTGAGCTCATCAGCTCGCATCTCACCGACTACTTTCCGCAGGCCGAGAAGCGCGTCTTGGAGCGCACGGCGCGGCGCTCCATCTACGGACGCCCCTCGGCCAGCGTGCGCTCGAAGCGCGACAGCACGTGGAGCTTCTCCGCCGAGCTCGATGCGCCGCCGCTGCCGGGCAAGGAGAGCATCGACGGAGGACGTCCGACGCCGTCGATCCACATTGGCACGCCGGAGCAGTCCGACGACGAGGCGGCAGATGAGCGCACGCAGACGCTCTCGTCGTCGCAACACGGCGCACGGCCAGGCCCGCCCACTCTGCCGCCCGTCATTGGCCGCTCTTCGCTCGACGACTGGTCCAAGAGCCTGCAGACCGTCGGCTCTCCCGTCGACGAGAGCGCTCCGACGGCCGCGTCCCGGCCCACACGGCCGCTCTCGCAGCGCCGTGCCTCGGGCGAGAGTACGCGCAGTCGCCGCAGCCTGGCCACACAGCTGCGCGTGGCGCGAGGCATTGGAGCGCCGCCCGGCCACCGTGCCAGCATGGTGGATCGCAGCGACACGGCCAGCATGCTGACGGTCGACGAGATCACACAAGAGGTCGAGATGCGGCGTGCCAGCACGAGTCTCGTTGGCGCCGGCGCTGGCTGGGTGGTAGATGAGGATGGCGTGCCGATTCCTGCGCCTGCCAATGCCGCCACACGCGGCGGCTCCGGCTCCATCGTCGGCAGCACACGGCCAAGCAGTCATCTCAGTGCGGGCACGCGCGACGACGCCGACAGCGACACGGATCCCGACGCGCTCTTCGGCGCGCCCAAGACGCCCGCTCAGCGTGCCGACAGCTCCAGTCCGGCGCCCTCGGTGCCGGGCGAAGAGTCAGACCAGCATCGAGGCGACCCAATGGCTGTGGTGCGCGGCACCACCAGTCGCGCGAGCAGCGTCAGCGAGCTGCGCCAGGAGGCAGTGGTGGGCGACGACACGGCCACTGCTGAAGACGACGAGATGGACACGGACGAGGAATACGACGATGACGACGTGCTCAGCGAGGAGGAGGATGAGGATGGCGGAGTCTTCCACTCGGCCGTCGCGGGCCGCAGCGAGCCGATCAAGTGGATCAAGGGCGCGCTGATTGGCGCGGGCTCGTTTGGCAATGTGTTCCTCGGCATGAACGCCAAGAACGGCCTCCTCATGGCCGTCAAGCAGGTCGAGCTGCCGTCGGGCGACTCGGGCAACGAGCAGCGCAAGAAGAGCATGCTCGAGGCGCTGGAGCGCGAGATCGAGCTGCTTAAGACGATGCAGCACGAGAACATCGTGCAGTACCTCGGTGAGTGGGCGTCACAGAGGGTGTCACTCGGCAAGGACCATGCGCTGACTCTCCCTCGCAGACTCGTCTGCTGACGGCACGCATCTCAACATTTTCCTCGAGTACGTGCCTGGCGGCTCCGTGGTGGCGCTGCTGCGCAACTACGGCGCCTTCGAGGAGCTGCTGGTGCGCAACTTTGTGCGCCAGATCCTGCAGGGCCTCAGCTATCTGCATGCACGCGAGATTGTCCACCGCGACATCAAGGGCGCCAACATTCTCGTCGACAACAAGAGCTGTGTCAAGATCAGCGACTTTGGCATCAGCAAGAAGGTCGAGAGTGACTTGCTCGTCAATGCACGAGCCCATCGGCCGTCGCTGCAGGGCAGTGTGTTCTGGTGAGTTGCGAGCGAGCCACGCGAAGGAGGACCGAGGAGAGCCAGTGCGCCTCCTCTGCCGCGCTGACGCTGCCTCTTCTTCCCCCGCAGGATGGCGCCCGAGGTCGTCAAGCAGACGTCGTACACGCGCAAGGCCGACATTTGGAGTCTGGGCTGTCTCGTCGTCGAGATGATCAGCGGCACGCATCCGTGGGCGAACCTGAACCAGATGTGAGTGGTGCCCTGCGCACACGCGCTGCCCATCCCTCTACTTCAGCATGCTCAGTCGCTCTCGTGCCCGCCTCGCAGGCAAGCGCTCTTCAAGATTGGCAAGGGCACTCGTCCCGAGACGCCCGACGACATCTCACAGGAGTGCATCGACTTTCTCAACGCCACCTTTGAGCTGGACCACAACGACCGACCCTCGGCCGACGAGCTGCTGCAGCATGCGTTCATCACGGGCGAGTACACCGGGCCGGCTGCCAGCAGCGGCAGTGGCAGCGCCGATGTGGCCGCCTCGGCGACAAGCAAGACACCGGCTTCTGCTGCTGCGCCGACGTCCAGCGCGACGCCGGGCAGCACGCTCGACGAAGGCATGAGCGCCGCCGGCGCGGGCAGCACGCTCAGCGCCTCGACGAACACGAGCACGCTGCTCAGCGGCGGCAGCGGCGGTGGCGCATCGGGCGGCAGCGCAGCCAACACGCCCGCCAGCTCGGTGCGCAGTCGAAAGAAGGAGGCGGCGCGCAAAGCCAAGGATGCGGTGTCGCAGGAGAAGGAAAAGCAGAAGCAGCAGGAGCAGCAGGCAGAGCAGGAGGCCGCCGCGTCCACCATTGAGGCGGACACTAGCTCCTGATGGTCGCACATCACTCCGCGCCCCTCGCATCTGCCTCTCTTGCCCTCACTGCACCTGTCATCTCCTCATCTCGCGTCCTTCCCGTCCTGCTCACGTCCACTCGTGTCCCACGCCCTGCCTTGACGCTCTGCTCTCTTTTTGCGCCCTCCATCTATTCCCCTTCATGAGCTGATCTGGAGCTTCAATGTCACCCTTCATCGTCTGCGTGGCCTAATGGCTCGCACGCAGCATGCGTCTCGAGGGCGCCTCGTCGCCCTTGCTGCCATTTTGGCGAACAGAGCAGTCACGCGCGGGGCTCTGTCGTTGTTGGTGGCTGGGTCTTACTGCGCGCGCTTTCGCATCGCTGGCCGTCTCGTACTTCTCTCCCTGTACGACGCTGATCGCTCGTCACTCGCGTATCTGCACTGGCCGAGGCTCACTTCGTTTCGAGACGACAGAGAATGGGGCTGATAAAGTAACGGAGCAAACGCATGCCACAGCCTGGCATCTCAACGCGCTGCGCTGCGTCAAGCCTCCTCGCCCAAGCGTGCAAACGTCTCGCGCACCGCCTTGCGGATGTCCTCCGTGACCTGCTCGACGGGCTTCATCGAGTCGACCTGAGGCGGGTCCATGCGTCGGCACGAAGCAGAGCAAGGAATGGGCAAAGAGAGGGGACACTCACCTCGACGACCTTGTTGTCCTTGCGGTAGTACTCCACAACAGGCATGCTCGTCTCCTCGAACGTGCCTGCGAGGAAAGACACGCTTCCGCGTCAGCCATCGGCGCTTGCTGCGCAGGCCGTCAAGACAGGCTACTCACGGAAGCGCTTGCGGATGCTCTCCTCGTTGTCATCGGCGCGGCCCGACGTCTTGCCGCGCTCGAGGAGACGCTCGAGCATCGTCTGCTCGGAGGCATGCAGGAAAAGGACGAAGCGGGACTGACAGACCTGTGAGCGAGCGAGGGTCGGAGGCGAGGAGAAGGAGCGTCAGTGCTGCGAGAAGATGTTGGCCAGGCGATTCGTGCCGTGCCGCAAGACGTTTCCAGCGTGTCCGCCTCTCCTCGCATCTCGCGCTGTGTGCTGCTCTCGGCCGCTCCACACTTGTGTGCCGACGATGCTCTGCTCGCCTCTCCTCCTCCCGTATGCCCCTCTTTTCCCCTCCGCCTCGCACAGCTCCGCTACACTGAGCGCCACGCCACACAGTCGAGCATGCAGTGTACGCCGAGCAGCGCAGTCGCTACCTCGTCTCGCTCATCATCAGGATTTTGCGGCAGGCCACATCGCTGTGGCGCCGCCTTCTCGGCCCTCTCCTCTCTCGCGCTTCATCCTGCTTGAACTCACCTCCTCATCAAACCCGACAGCCTGGTCCATTTTCCTCGGAAAGCCATCAACAAGGAATCTGCCCTTGCCGTCCGTCCACTTGCTCCTGTGCTTCTCCGGCACGGTTCCTCCTCCGTTTGCAGTCGCACCGCCACTCTCCAGCGCCGCCTTCATGGCGTTGGACAGCAGGGCAATGGTGATTTCCTGCGGCACAATCTTGCCTTCGCGGATGTACTCTGCGATCAGCGAGCCGTACTGAGAGCCTTCGCGCTGCTGCTCGGAGCGCAGGAGGTCACCGGCTGGGGGTAGCGGCGCAAGAGCGTGAGTGCAAGTGAAGGAAAGAGTGCATAGAGAGACAACGTACCGCTGAGATGCACGAAGCCAAACTCATCGACGAGCTTCGCACACTGCGTGCCCTTGCCCGCTCCCGGTCCGCCCAGCACAAAGATCACCGTCACATCCTTCTTGTCAAACGTCGGCATCTTGGTATTCCGCTTTCCTCTCCTCTCTCTATCGAACTAAGTGGGCAGAGGAGGGAGCCCTACTGCGGGTTCTGATGCCGCGGCGGAATGAGCGGGTTGGGATGGTGGATGCGCTTCTCGCGCGTCTCGTTGCGCGGGTCCGAGTCGCGGAAGCGGACGACGTAGACGAAGGAGGCGAAGGAGGAGACGGCGAGGAAGGCGAGGGCGTAGGGGTTCGGCGCGCGGGCTTGGGGAGGAGGAGACATGTGGACGAGAAGGGCAGCGGGGGACGAGGCGCAGCGCCAGCGCGAGAGGCCCGATCAAGGTCGCGCCATGGCAGCGCACGCGCCTGGCTTACGTAAGCGGGCGCACGGCCCACCCCGTGCTGCCCCGAGCCTCTGCGCACCAGCTCCTCACGTCAGCCTGCCACAGCGCTCGCCTCGAGCTTGAGCAGACAGTCACAGTGTGAGAAGCGTCGCGAGAGAGGGACTGCTGCGCGCATCGACGCAGCGAGCGGGAGGAAGCGAGAGAGAGAGTGGGCAGTCGAAGCCAGCGTCGTGTCCCGAGTCCCGATGCACGCCTCCACAGCGCCCAGGCCGTGCCAGCGCAACACCTCGCGCCGCCGCGTCTGCGTCGTCGCGCCGCTGTCGTCATCTGCTGCCTCGTTGCGGGGCCGGTCACGAGGGCAGAGGCAGCACCGCCTCTCGGCCCCGCTTGGCGCTGTGGAAGGCACGAGACGAGAGAGTCCTTGCTGGCGCGCAAGCGGGTCCACGCTAGCTCGTCTAAATGCATGCGTCGAGCGGCGCACGGGCGTTGCCTCTCTACCACCACCACCTCCCATACACACACCAGCACACCACCAACGTATGTTCTCCTGCCCAGCTTCACCGCTCGCGCTCCACTGACTTTCGTCTCTAGACCTCTCTCATCATGCCCAAGACATTCCACAAGGTCGTGTACAAGCCGTCCGTCGAGTCCTCCGAGCTCTTCCAGGTCATCGTCAACGGCGAGGAGTACAAGAAGTGGAAGGGCGGCGACACGACAATTCCCCTCGCAGACGTCGTCGACGCCTTCCAGGTCTTCTCGACGGGCGCCGGCACGCAGGGCATCATGGGCAAGCCGAGCAAGCAGCAGGTGAGTGGGCAGAGGCGAGAGGCGAGAGGCGAGAGGCGCGTGGGCAGGAGGGAGCGCGGGCGGCAGGGCCATCGACAGCACGACTGACACGCTTGTTCCTCGCCTTCGCCTCCTTCTCTTCCTCTTGTCTCCTCCACTCTCGCCCGCACGTCCCGTTTGGCCTCTTTTCCTCTTCTCGTCCTCTTCGCGCCTCTCTCCTCCACTCTCGCCTCGCAACGCTCGCCCTTGCTCGCTGCGCTCGCCAATATAGCTCGACAACACCTTCAACACGCACAACGACACCGAGGTCGTGCAGATCATCCTCGAGAAGGGCGAGCTGCAGAACGCCACGTGAGTCCATGCCTTCTCTCGCCGTTGGTCCAGGGTCCGCTCTCTTTGTGCTTTGCGCACGCCTTTCTCTCTCATTCCGCATGCACTTCTCTCCTCCCCTTCCTGCCTTGCTCGCTGCATCACTCCCACCCCTCTATCTTCAAGCTTCTCACGTCCCGTTCCTCCTGCTCGCTCACTCGTCGACTACCTAACACCCCATCCTGTTCACACCAAACAGCGCAAAGGACGGTTACAGCTCCACCAACGACGGCAAGATGGGCGGCAACCAGGTGTCGCAGGGCGGCGCGGCGCACGGCGGTCGCTAAGGCAAGCCTCGTGCAGGCTGAGCCTTGGCGCGCGGCTGGCAGCAAGTCGCTGGGCAGCAGTGCGAGTGGTCAGCTAGCGACGTCGACGACGTGACGAAGTGAAGAACGACAATCGAAGCACCATTTTACCCCTTCTCTTCTCTCGCGCGTCTCTGCTTCGGCGTTCTGCCCATCGAGAGAACGCACGCTCTCGAGGCGCAAACACTGGCGAGCAGCCGGGCAGGGCAGAGAGTGACATTTGCTCAAGCGCCCGACTCGGCTCGTCACTCGTGAGGGGAAGAGAGGGCGCGCGCAGAGCAGAGCGTCAGGTAGAGGTGGGACATGAGGGGACGCGAGGAGAAGCAAGCGGCGGGGCGAGGCAGCGGCACGCCAGACAGACAGGAAGGCCTGGATCAGGAGGTATAGCATTTGTACTCAGCGCTCAGCTGGTGTCCTTTCCCGCCACCCGTGCGCATCTCCTCGCGTCAGTCGCCATCACAGCCCAGCAAAGATGCTCAAATCTGGGGGAGTGGTGGGGGGGATCAGGCGGGCAGAGAATATGCGTGCGAGACTGCACCACGCAGAGAGTGGAAGAGGTATCGATCGGCACTGCCTGCACATGAGGGCGTCTGGAGATAGCGACTCAGCGCTCTATAGGCCGTCGAAAAAGCTCAGATCCGCCGCCGAGAGGCCTCCGGTCTTCGCGCCAGCGTGCTGCGTCTGCTGCGTCTGCAGTGGCGCCGGCTTCGCCTGCATGCTCCCGCCGCCAGGCGCAGTGCCAGCACTGAGAGGAGCAGACGCAGGCGGCGTGAAGGCGGGCGGAGCAGACGGCGACGGCGCAGAGGTAAAGTCTGCAAAGTCGTCTAGCAGGTCTACTCCTTTCTGCTGCTGCTGTTGCGGCTGCTGTTGCTGCGAGCGCATGGAGCCCGGCGGCGGCAGTCTGCCACTCCCCGGCGGCGGCGGCAGCGTCGGAGCGATGCGTGCGCCAGCACCAGCGCCAGACGAAGAAGACGAGGAGGACATGACGGGCGAAATTGTGCGGATCGGAGGCGTCGCGCTTCGCCCTGTTGCACTGAGGCGGACAGAGTCGATGCTTGTGCGCGTCGCTGGAGGAGGTGCGAGCTTCGGCGGCGGAGCGGGACGACGCGTCGTTGAGTCGTCGTCGACGTCGTCGTTGTAGACGGGCGCTTCGTCCCGATACGCCCTGAACGCCGTTCCTGTCGCCTCATGCCCATCTGTGTATGATCCACCGCCCGTCTGGCCCTCACGAGGCGACATGTGTCCATAGTCATCCTCGTCATCCTCCTCCTCCTCGTAGCTCCCTCGTCGCCGTGGCTGCAACGACGCCAGGTTGCGCGCCGAGTAGCGGCCCCGTCCAAGGCCGCTGCCCACGGTTGCGCGCGCCGGCGAAGTGCCGCTCGTGCTTGTCGACGCCGCAGGCTGCGCGCTGGCCCATCGAGGCAGTCCGGCCATAGATGCAGCAGGCGCAGTCGCAAAGTCGTCGAAGTCGTCGTCTAGCTGCTGCTGCCGCGCAGAGCTGCGAGAAGCATCATTGCTGAAACTAGAGGCCATGCGCGCTGCTCCTCCGCCAGGGCCGCCACTGGCACGCACGCTCTGGGAGCGCTTGACGGCGCTGCCGGAGATGGGATCAAAGTCGGCGAGATCGAGGAGTGCACTGCTTCTCGGGGGTTGCGCGATGCGAGGAATCGGCGCTCCCGTGGCCCGCGAGGTGGACTGCACCATCGGCCGCTGAGCCGCCGCGCTCCCTCCCGCCGCGCCAGGTCTTGCAGCCATGACATCTTTCAGCCAGCTATCCAGATCCTCCGCTTGCCCTTCTCCCTGCTGTTCCGGCGCCGCCGGCAGGCCCTCGAGCCATTCGAGATCCGCATCGCTCATGCCACTCGGCGGTGGCGCGCCCGCCTTGCGTCCCCATCTCAACCACTTTGCCAATCCTCCTTGCTGCTGTGCTTGATCCGTCTTTGCGCCCGGCGCCACAGCCTCGCTCCCGCCCGAAATCGGCACTGCATCGCGCGTGCCATCTAGGCCTGAGCCGTACGCGGCCATCTGTGCATCTTGCTGTGTCCTCGACGCAGAAGACGCATCCGGCGACTCCTCCTCCTCCTCCGCCGCGCTCGCAATGCGCGGTGCACTGCCGCTCGTGGAGCCCCAAAGCCCAGAGAAACGCGCAGCGAGACCACTTTCAGGCTTGCGAGGCACTTGCTTCCAGCCTGGTCCTTCGCTCGCCGTCGATGCGTCGTTCGCGCCCTTGCGCGGCGGTGACGTCGCAGTGGAAGTGGACGCGGCGCCGAGTGGAGGAGAAGCGGCACGGATACTACTCGTCGCCTTTGCACCGTCGGCCGTGCCGCTCAGCGTGGCGGGCTTGCGCCAGGAAGCGAGTGCGGCAAAGGGCGCGGCGAAGCGAGACGTCGCTGCGGGTGCTGATGCCTCGGTGCTGGAAGACGCGGCAGTCGCTGCGGCGCGCTCGGCGTCCAGATCGCGCACTTGCAGCTCCACTTCGGGCGAGGAGGGCGAGGTAGGAGAAGCAGAGCTGCCGCCGCATCGCCAATCAATACGCAGATTCCTCTCAGCGCAAGACGGTGGACTCACCGATCCGACTCAGCAGTCCCTGCGAACTGCTCACTCTGTGCCGAGCCAGGCCAGCGCGGCGGCCCACCATCATCATCCACCTGTGCCCAGCCAGACCCGACGCTCTCGCGGCGCTCGGGCGTCCATCCTCCTCCACCTGCGCCCGCCGCTCCTACAGTTCCGAGTGATGCACCACTCTCGCGGCGCTGCGTTGCGAATGCAGAAGGAGGAGGCAGAGCTTCCACACCACCCCAGGGCGAGGGCGGGCGCGGCTCGTCTGCTTCGGCCTCTGCGGAAGTGGAAGGAACGGAAGGCGCCCATGCGTCCGGCCGCTCATCCTGCCATCCCGCACGCTCGTTGAGCGGTGAGAGCGCAGCTGGCGCAGCCGGCGAAGCGACGCGAGTGGGAGTGGAGTGTCCCTCGTCCGCTCCTGCATCTGGCGCGGAAGCAGGCGCAGCACTGGTGCTCGGCGACGCCCATGGATCTTCGCTTCCGAGCGAAGGCAGCGCGAGACGGACAGGCGAAATCTGAGGACGAATGGGAGATGCGGGCGGAGAGGAGGACACGGGCGCTGTAGTGGAGGAGCTGGAGGTCGCGGCTGATGAGGACGCGTCGCCGCCGCTGCCGTCGTCGGCCCAGGGCGAGGGCGTGGCCCAGGGATCCATCGGTGTGGAAGCGAGTGAGCGCTTCGTCAGCGAGGACGAAACTCGATGAGGCGAGGGTGGTGGTGGAGGCGAGGAGTGAAGCTTGGACGATGCTGCGCGCGTCCATTGCGCCCACTCGCTCGGCGCTGCTGCTGCCGTCGCGCCCCGCACTCGGCGGCGGTGTTGGATGTGCTGGCCGTGCACGGCCTTTGCCTCGCGCGCCTTCCTTCCGATCCTCATCCCTCTCCGCCTCAACTCTTACTCACATCGCCGCGCACTCACAGCAGCACAGGCGCACTTCATCTGCGCCCAGCACTCGCGCGCGCTTCCTTCATCCCTGCACCGACCGCGGCGCACACCTTGCAACCGCAGCATGGCCACGCCGCCCGCCTCGGCGCCTGCCGCGCTGCCCGCCGGCAGTGCCTCGGACGCCGCCGCCGAGGCAGCAGCGGCAGCGCAGCGCCAAGCCGTCGTGGCGCTGGAACTGGACGAGGTGTGTTGTGCATGCCTTGTTCCCTGCGTGACGCCTGCAGCCCAGAGCTGACGTGCTTGCCCCTGCCTGGCAGACCAAGCTGGATGCCGCCGTCGCCGCGGGCCAGGGCGAGGTGTGGGTGCTGCAGTGGCTTGCCAAGGCCGAGTCGGCGATCGGCAGCCTGGATCTGGTGCGTGTTGTAGTGCAGCAGATGACAGCTTCAGCGGCTGAGATGTGGGCTTGGCGCACAGGCGACGTTGCAGCAAGGGCAGCCCAAGCTCGAGGCCGCGCTGCTCAAGCTCCTCTGCGTCTCGCCCGCCGAGGCAGAGGCACAGACCCCGCCTGCCACACCCGCGCCCACTCCTTCGTCGTCGCGCAGCAGCACGCTGCCTCGTCCCGGGCGGCCCGCGCGGCATCTTCTCGCGCGCTGTCTCGTGCTCGTGCTGGCGCGCACCGACTCGCGCTCGCTCTTCGACATCGTGCAGACGCTGCTGCGCACGGCCGGCGACGAGGGCAGCAAGAGCCGCGCCGTGCCCGACAAGGAAGTCAAGGCAGCCGCACTCTACGTCGCCGGCGAGATCTTTGCCAGACTGGGCCACAACGTCATGAGCCTCTTCAACGAGCTCCTGGCCCTGACGCAGCGCCTCTTCAAGAATGCAAATGCACCGGTGCTGGTGCGCTTCCACGCGCTGCTCTGCCTCTCCAAGGCGCTTGCGTCCGGCGCGAGAAGCCTCAACGATCAGCCGGCAAAGGAGCTGCTGCGCAATCTGCGCACTGGCCTGGGAGATCGCGCTGGCGCCGTCGTGCGCGGCTGCGCCGAGGTGGGTGAGCAGGAAAGGCCCACCCATGCAGAGCTGACGTGACTCTTCCACAGTGTCTCCTGGCGCTTTCGCAGCAGAGCGACCTCATCGCCACGCGCGTCGAGATCGAGGCGTTGCTCTTTGCCGCGTTCAAGGCCCTCGACACGGCCGACTACGTGACGAAGCGCAGTGTGTCGCGCCTCTGCGCCGTCGTGCTTGCCGGCACGCAGGCGGAGAACTCGGCGCCGCTGCCCGAGAGCGCCGGCAAGGGCAAGAAGAAGAAGAAGGACGGCGCCGCTGATGCTTCGGACGACGACGAGCCGCCGCCCAGCAGTGCCGCAGACGGCCCTGCCAGGACGCTCTTCTCGCCCAAGGCGATGCTTGAACAGCTCTCCACGCCGTACCTGCGCTCTGCGGCGTCTCGCCGAGGCCGTGCGGCCGTGCTGGACGTGTACGCCGCGCTGCTGACGCAGCTGGGTCCGACGTGGGTGCTGGCCAACTACGGCATCATTCTGCGCCACCTCATCGACGATCTGCCCAACCACGCGCGCGGCACTGGCTCGGCCAATCGCGCCGACGTCCTCTTCCTACGCGCCGGCGTGCGCTTGCTGCTGCGCCGCGTGATCGGCGAACGGATGCTGGGCGAGCAAGCACAAGTGGCGGCGCTGCAAGAGATCAGCAGCGCATATCTCAAGCGCTGGCCGGTGCTGATGCCCGGACAGCATCCGCCGAGCAAGTACTCGCTCGTGCTGGCGCTCGATGAGTGTGCCGGTCTGCTGGCGCAGCTCGGCAGTGCGCCGCCGCCGGTGCTCGATGCGCTGTACGACGCTGTGCTGCGCTGTCTGGCACATCCGAGCCACTCGGTGCAGATCAGCGCCGCATGGTGCCTGCGCACGCTCTGCAGCATCCATCCGACGCATCTCGAGCCGACGATCGACGCCGTGCTGGCGCTGCTGCAAAAGGACCTGCGCAGCCTCACCACCGCCGAACGCGGCGGCGCCGAGCTGCCGCGGCGCGCCGTCGGACACGCCCGCGGCCTGGCGGCGCTGCTCGATGTCATTCCCCGACGCCCGCTGTATGCCTCCTTCGACGTCAGCTCGCGCATCTTTGCGCTCGCCACGGCGCTGCTCAAGGGCAGTGCCGAGCACGACTTGCCCATCTCGGCCGTCGAGATTCAGGTGGCCTGGACGCTGTTGGGCGCGCTCATGTCGCTCGGCCCCGGCTTTGTGCGCCTGCATCTGTCGCAGCTGCAGACGATGTGGCGCAACGCGCTGCCCAAGCCGGCCCCTGGATCTGCGCCGCGAGGCGATGCAGAGACGGGCTTTCTGCTGCATGTCCGCGAGTGCGCCCTCGGCGCCATCTACGCCTTTCTCATCCACAACGCCGAGCTGCTGACGCTCGATGCAGCACGGCGAGTCGTGGCGCTCCTCGTCAACTCGCTGGCGTTTGTCGATGCCTTTGCAGCGCAGCATCCGCATCTGGCGCAGGAGCAAGTGCCGGGCGCCGAGCGCGGCGCACTCAGTCTGCTCGATCGCGAACACATGGTGCGGCGGCGGCTGTTCCAGTGCTTTGCATGTCTCGCCGGCAGTGCCGCCATGGACTCGCTCGCCGACAGTCTGCTGCCCGCTGCGCTGGCCACGTTTGCCGAGCCGGAGCGCTACGTTGGCAGCGCGGCACAGGCGGCCATCGCTGCCAGTGCGGGCAACTTCAGCAGCGTCTGGCTCGCCACGGACGGCTATGCGTATGGCTGCACCAGTCTGCTGCGCGACGAGCAGACATTCATTGCCGGCGCACCCGAGAGCAAGGGCGCGTATCCGGCCACGCAGCTCGTCACGCGCGCCGAGTGGCTCAACCGCGACACCGTCGAGGTGCAGCTGGACGCGCTGCAGCGGCGCCCAGTCCTCGGCGCCGCAGAGCACGACCCGCTCATTCTCTACGCACGTCCGAACGAGGCGGTGACCAGCGACACGCCCGACACGCCGCCGCTGCCGCCGCCCGCCGCGACGGGCATGGTGGATGCAGCGCTGCATCTCTTTGCCGCACTGCTGCCGTTCCAGGCACGCGAGCGGCAGATCAGCGCCGTCGAGGCGCTCCTGGCGCACACGCGCAGCACACGACTAGAGAAGAATCCGGCGCGCCGACAGGCCGTGCAGATGAATGCCTGCGTGGCGCTGCTGGGCGTGCTGCGCACGGCCACGGCCAGCGCGGGAGGCTCGCGGCGCGCCTCGGGCTTCAACAACGAGCGCCTGACGGCGGCGTTGCGCGACGTGCTCAAGGACGCGCTGCTGCAGGGCGACCGTGCGCTGCGCGCCGCGGCAAGCGAGGCGTACGGCCGACTGGCGGCCATTGCCGGCTCGCATGCCATGTCGTCGCAGGTGCAGTTCCTCGTCGACCAGGTGGTGTCGAACCGCGATCCCGATGCGCGCGCCGGCTGTGCGCTGGCATTCGGCGCCGTGTACAGCGAGGTGGGCGGCCTGTCTGCGGGCCCGCTCACCAAGACGATCGTCAATGTGCTCATGTCGCTCTCCAGCGACCCGCACCCGACGGTGCACTACTCTGCGCTCGAGGCGCTGCGCCGCGTCGTCGATGCCGCCAGTCTCAGCTACAGCCCCTTTGTGGCCAGCACGCTGGGCATGCTGGTCAAGCTGTACATGCTCGACACGCACGACGCCGAGGGCGGCAGTGCCGGCTCGGGCAACCTGCGCGCCGATCTGCCCGCGCATCAGGCCGCCTGCCGCGTCATCAACGCGCTCATCGGCGTGCTGGGCCCCGACCTGCAGGACTCGGCAAAGGTGCGCGCCCTCGTCCTGACGCTGCTGCACGAGTTTGGCAGCGAGGGCGATGCGGGCGTCGTCGTAGAGGCCACCAAGGCGACGCAGCACTTCGGCCTCTTTGCCGCGGCGCACCTCGACATCGCCCAGTGGATCGCCCAGCTGCGCACGCATCTCCGCAGCGCGCATCGCCCGCTGAAGCTTGCGGCGATCAACAGCTTCTACACGCTCGTGCAGCGCCAGGCGCTCGTCGTCAGCCGTGTCGGCGGCGATGCGCTGGTGGCCGACTTTTTCGCACAGCTCGACAACGACGCGAGCATCGACGGCGTGCGCGAGGTGCTCACCAGCTGGCTGCACCAGACGGCCGAGCTGAGCCCCAGCAGCTGGATCGACCTCTGCCAGCGCATCATGAGCCGCGTGGCGAGCGGCGCGGAGGCCAAAGCGGCGCCGGCCGTGCAGCAGCCGGGCGCACTGCAGGACGAGGAGGCCGCTGCGATTGATCTGGGCGAGGAGCCCGGCCGCAATGGTGCGCAGCAGAGCCGCTGGCGCACGCAGCTCTTCGCGCTACAGTGCCTGCACGAGGTGTTCCTCACTGTCCGGCGGTCAGGACGCCTCGAGCACTTTGACACGCCGGCGGCGGGCGCGCGCCAGGTGCTGATGAGCAGCCGCGTGGGCGACCTCATCAAGATGGCGTTCACGGCCAGCACGGCGGGCAACGCGGCGATCCGCCTCGAAGGCCTCACGGTGCTGCGCGACGTGGTGCAGAACTTTAAGCTCGCGCGCGACCCCGACTTTGAGGAGGCGCTGCTGCTCGAGCAGCACCAGGCGCCCATCGCCGCTGCTCTCACGCCCGCGTTCACCGCCGACAGCACGCCCGAGGTGCTCGCCGCTGCCGTGCAGGTCTGCGCCGTGTTTGTCGGATCCGGCGTGGTGCGCGAGGCGGAGCGCATGGGCCGCATCCTCAAGCTGCTCGCCGCCGCGCTGGAGAGCTGCAAGGACGCGGCAATGACGAGCCTCGGCGATGTGCAGCGCCTCTCGCCCAACGCCACGGCCATGCTCAAGGTCGCCGTGTTTACCGCCTGGGGCGAGCTGCAAGTGGCGAGCGCGGCGCAGCCGTTCCTCGTGCCCGTCGTGCAGCCGCACATTGCCGCGCTGGCGCCGTTCTGGATCGCCAGCCTGCGCGAGTACGCGCGCCTGCGCACCGACCCCGACAGTGCCAGTCTGGCCATGCCCGGCCCGGGCCCGCAGCTCAACGCCCGCATCGGCGCGCAGTACGCTGGCCTCACGCGGCAAGTGCTGCTGCCGCACTACGAGCGCGCATGGTACAAGATGCTGCATGCCGTCGCCGAGCTGGTCGATGCGCGTGACGGCGCGATCCTGCGCGCCATGGACGGCCTGGAGGACGACGCACCGGCCGCAGAGTACTCGGCGTTCCGCACCGAGCCGGCGCCCAACTTTGCCGTCTTGTACGGCCTGGCGTTCGAGGCGCTCGCCGGCAGCGCGCCCGACGCGCTGCGCATCGTCGCGCTGCAGGCGCTGCGCAGTCTCTGTGCGCCGGCATTTGCCGGCAATGCGCTGCTCGAGCTGGCGCTCTTCGACGAGCTGCTCAACCTGGCGCGCCGCCTCGTGATGACGGAAGGGCTGCGCGTGCAGAGCGCCGTGCTGCAACTGCTCGGCAGCATCGTGCAGCACTACGGCGCGCGCCTGCTCGACGTCGAGCCGTGAGTAGTGCGAGGCGAGGTGTTCTGCCGCAGCTGACCTCTCCGCAGCACGGACTCGCCACTGGCCGCCGAGGCAAAGCTCACGCAGTGCCTCAGCGTCGTGCTGCACGTCATGACACAGGCGCACCTGCAGGCCGGCGGCGCCGACGACAAGATTGCGCTACTGCGCGTGGCGTACGCCACGTATGCGCAGCTCGAGGCGGCGCACCCGCGCGGCCTGCACGAGGAGCTCGTCTGCGTGGCGCTGTCGGCGTACAGCGACATGCTCTGCGACGAGCGCGTCGAGCAGGACGTCGTGGCGCCAACGCTGCCGCTGTTCAAGAGCGTGCTGGAGCGTGCGGCACTGGCGCGGCGCGAAGACAGCGACGTGCTGCCGCGCACGCTCCACGCTCTGCTCTCGTCGGCCCTCGGCAACGTCGACGAGCTGCGCACGCGCGCCGGCGCCGCCGTCGAGCTCAAGACGCGCAACAGCCTGCTGCTGCTCGCCATTGCGCTCACGGCGCTGCCCGCCGAGCTGCCGCCGAGCGCCGCCGTCGTGGAGCACTACTGCTTCCTCCTCGTGCAGAAGCTGCACGACAGCAGCGACATGGCCGGCGTGGCGCTGAGCTGCGCGCGCAGTCTGGTCCTGGCTGCTGCAGCACGCAACACGCCCGCGCTGCGCTTCGCCGTCGGCCAGCTGCTTCCCGGCCTGCTGGCGCTGCTCGCCAGCCAGAGCACGGCGCTGAGCGAAGTTGAGCCGGACGCCCGCGCGCTGCGCCTCGTCGAGGACGTCGTCAAGCTGCTCGTGGCCTTTGCGACGACTGCGCCCGAGTCGCACCGTGAGTGCAGTGTGTTGTGTGCAGTGTGCGACGTGACGAGCCGCGCTGACCCCCTCTTAGGCACTCGCGCGCTCCTCCTCGTGCTGCCCACGCTGCTCCTGCTTCTCTCGCCCGACTCGCCCGGCGCGGCGCACGGCAGCAGCGCCGCGCAGCTGCTGCTCATCGCCACGCAGGCGCCGGCGCCCTTCCGCGACGCCACGGCGGCGTTGGACGCGCCGCAGCGCGCGCTCCTCGAGACGAGCGTGCGCGGCGCACTGGCGGGCGCCGCGGCGGCTCGCTCGGCGCCCAGCCAGACGGCACAGAGGCAGGAGGCCAAGATTGCGCTGCGCAGCTTTGGCTAGGCAGACAGGCGTGCGCAGCGGAGAGGCCGGGGAATGGCAAACGTGACGATTTCAGAAGCACTGCTCGCCCTACGCGCTCTGTCCATGCTGTGCCGCCTGCAGCGCCTCCTCTGCGGCCTTGGCCTCCTCGCCCGTGGCCGCGTCGCCCTCGAGGCCGTCCTGCGAAGCAGGCGTGTCAGAAGAGAAGGCCGAGCGGTGCTTCGCAGGACGAGCGCCAGCAGCAGCCACTGCGGCACGCCGCCTCCGCGCGCCTCGCGCAAACTCACCAGCAGCGCCTGCAGATCCTCGACGGCCGCAGCGAGACGGCGGGCACAGTCGGGAATCATCTGCTCGCAGTCGCGCAGAACCTCGTGCTAGGTGGGGCGGCGTCAGCGCCGGCAGCCGCAACAGCAATGGCAACGGTCGAGCGCCGGCAGAGCCGAGCAGCAGCGATGGCGACGGCAGATGCCAATGACGACCCTTGCACTCTTCGCCGCTCCCGCTGCTGAGCCCGCTGCAGCCTCATGTCCTGGCCCTCGCACATCCTCCCGGCCGACGGCATCTCCTCCTCTGCCAAGTCGTCTTTCTTCGGCATTCTTCCCTGTTCACTTCTCGTCTCGCACTCACCTGCTTCTTGACGTCCCACTCATCGGCGCCCTCGCGCGTGATGCGCTCGATGCGCGCCTTCTGATCCTCTGCTTCTTGCGCGTACGTCTTTTCCTCCTTTGTCAGGCTGGCGAGCGCAAGGGCGGACAGGCGAGCGAGAGGGTGGGCGATCGAGAAGAGAGGAGAGCAGGCGTCGCAGATCGGCATCAGCGAGGAGAGCAGCGCATGTGCCTCTGTGCGAGCTCTGCGCAAACGCACCGCTTCACGACGCCCGTCTTGATCTTGAGCTGCCGCAGCGTCTGGGCGTCGGCCATGCTGCTTGCTTGACGAGAGACGGGGGCGCGAGCTGCTGAGTGATGCGGATGCGGCAGTGCAGGAGTGAGAGGGAGGCTGCGTGGAGAGCAGAGCGCAGATGTGGGCGTGGGGCTGGTGGAGGAGAAGGAAGCAGCGCCGCCGGTGAAGCTGCGAAGAAGTCGCCGGCGCGGCCGCAGCACGGGCCACTCGCCTTCGCGCCGGCCGCGCGCGCGTGTCCTTCTCGTCGGGCCTCGCCGCTTCCGCCGCCGTTGCGCGCTCGCGTGTCTGCCTCTCGGCTTGGACGCAGCTCCTGCGAGTCGCGAGCGGCAGACGCACTTGTGCCTTCCTCCCTCCCATCTCTCAGTGGGAGCAGGTGCGCTAGCTGACGGCAAGCAAGCCTACGCGCAGGGCGCTGGGCGAGCCTCCAGACCTAGTTGTCGCTTGACTCCACAGCGATGATGCGCGCTCGGCAAGGGACGGGCCCAGGAGGAGAAGATACGGTGGAGGCTCACGACAGGCAAGACGTGCGGAGAACGATTAAGGCGCATCACATCACGTCCGGGGAATGAGAGGGGGGGAGTGAAAGGTGGGGAAGCCCAGGGAGAGCCGAAGAGGGCAGCTCGTCCATCACACCAAAGGGACAGACGCAAAGCGATGAGAAAGCCGCAGTCACATTGCACGTCGTGCCCCTTCCCCGTACTCTCCACGTAGCCCCATCTCAGCCGCTCTCCGGTGCGCCCTTGCCCGCATTCTCGTTGCCCTTGTCCGGCATGCCACTGCCTCCCGTGCTCGCCTCCATGCCCGCGCCGCCTCCGCCAACGACAAACGGCCGCGGCTGCTCGACGACGAGGCGCTCGCCGGCGTACATCTGGTTCGTGAGTGCCGCGCGGCGCAGCACTTGCAGCTCCTGGCGTGCGGTGGCGTACCATGCGGCAAGGCGAGCGCCGTCGTCCGCGCTCGAGGAGGAGGAGGAGGAGGCGGTGAGAGTGGAAGGCGAGGCAGGACCAGTGACGGCGCCGGCCTTGGAGTAGGGAGACGACTGCGCGGCGGCGGAAGAAGGAAGCAAGGCGGAGCGGAACATGTCGCGCGACCGCCGCTGGAAGTAGGTGCGGAAGTTGTACGATGCCTGCAGGAGAGAGTGTGAGCAGAGGATTGCGCATGAGGTGCAGACGGTGTGACTGCGAGACGATGAGGAGGGAGCGGGCCAGCGGTGAGAAGCTCGACGTGCGCCTTGGCACATGCTCGGCAGCTCCAGGCCGCTGTTGACGCTTCTGCTGCGCGCTCGACGGCCATCTCCATCTGAGCATGCAATCACAAGCCGCCTTGGCGAGCTGCAGCTGCAGGCAAAGATGTCGCGCCGCGCCTCCGCGAGCCTTCGTTTGAAGCTGCCATCTAGCCTTGGCGCGGCGGTGGCATGGCTGACGACTGCAAGCATGCAAGAGCTCGCAGCTCCCGCGGCGCCTAGGCTGCAGATGCATCTGTCCTGCCTTTCGTCTTGCTTCGCGGCCTTGTTGCGCCTGCACTCTCTGAGGCAGGCACGCCTGTGCCGTGCGTGCTTCCGCCGCAGCGCATGCGCTGACGAGCTTTGGCGCTGTGGCCCTGTGCAGGCGTCCTCTGCGCCCACGCTCATCATCAGCGCAGCAGCCTCAACACGCGCAGCGCAAGCCAGCCAGGCCCATGCCGCTGCGGCCATGCCACGCTCTCATCTTGTACGCGTCTCCCACGGGCACAGCCCTGCGGCGCCCGTCTCTCGTTCGCTGTCACACCACTGGCACCAGAAGCTGGAGCACTCACGAAGCTCTGTGCGCTGCGCATGTAGTCGCGGTACAGGCGCAGGATCTGCGTCTTGCTCGGCTGCGCCATGGCTGCCTAGCTGTTCACGAAGCGAGCGTGTGGGAGATGCTTGGCGGAATGTCCTGAGGGATGTGAATGGGAGACGAGGCTCGTGTGTGTCGTCGTGTGTGTTGTCAGTGGCTCGAGGCAGAAGATGGAGGTGAGGCGAGCTGGAGGTGGTGGAGAGAGAAGCAAGCGGCCGCTCTCATAATCTTGAATCTTGCCACGCCGGCGGCGCAATCGGCTTTCTTCGGCCGCCGCCTCGGGTGAATACAAGCGCGTTGCACTTGTGGTGCGCGCGAGTTGTATTGGCGCTGGCGCAGCGTGCGCACCGGCCACCTCGCCGCGCGCTGACGTCTCCCTCTCTCCGCCTCTCCACCTCTCCACCTCTCTCGCTCGCCATCCCGCATCTCCCTGCTGCCTCATCTCGTCGCGCATCGCCTCTCTCTTCCCGTACCTTTGCACCTCCCACACGGCCCAGCATGGCCGGCCTCGGGCAGACATGGTCGTCGCAGCCGTACCTCGACCACGTCTCGGCACCAGCGCAGCTCGACGCCTTTGACCTGGCTCGTCAGCACACGCAGTGCGTGCCCTGCCTTGCCCTCGCCGTTTCCCCCCTCTCACGATTCTACTTCTCCAGACAGCCAATCGTCACGGGCACGTCGATCCTCGGCGTGCGCTTCAGCGGCGGCGTCATGCTCGCCAGCGACACGCTGGCGTCGTACGGCAGCCTGGCGCGCTTCATGGACGTGCGCCGCCTGCGCGAGGTCGAGGAGAGCAACGCCATCATCGGCGCGAGCGGCGACATGGCCGACTTTCAGTACCTCATGCACCAGATCGACAAGGTCGGGTGAGTGCATGGCGGTGCGGAGATGGGCGAGACGGTGCCGCGACGCGCGGTGCGGTGCGAGGTGCGGGCTGCTCGTGCTGGAGGCGGGCGAGCGACACCGAGCGACTCCCGCTTGTCGCTGTCCTCGCTGCCACAGCAAACATACGCAGCGCGGCCTGCTGCGCGCCACTCTCTCCGGTCGCTGACACTCTTCTGCAGCATCCGCGAGTCGACGTCTGGCGATGCGCACGCCCTCTCGCCCTCGCAGCTGTACGCCTACCTGACGCGCGTCATGTACGCGCGGCGCTCCAAGGTGGACCCGCTGTGGAACTCGCTCGTCATCGGCGGCGTCGACCGGCGCTCGGGCGTGCCGTTCCTCGGCTACGTCGATCTGCTCGGCGTCACGTACGAGAGCGCCACGATTGCCACGGGCTTCGGCATGCACCTCGCGCAGCCGCTCTTGCGAAAGGCGGTCGAGGGACGAGAGGAGACGCTGAGCCAACAAGAGGCAGAGGAGATTCTGAAGGAGGCCATGAAGGTGCTGTGTGAGTAGTGAAGCACGGCGAGCGCGGCGCTGCGATGTGCAGCGAGCTGGGCGAGGCGGGGGGCAAGGAGTTGAATCTCAGCACAGCTGTCGCCACGTCCGCTGCGCTCGCATCGCCGCGTCTCTTCTGCTCACGCTGACCCTCTGGCGCAGTCTACCGCGATGCGCGCTCGATCAACCGCGTACGTGCCTCTGCGTCCCCTCCACGGTACCACGCTCACCACCTCTCCCTCTAGTTCCAAATCGCCACCGTCACAAAGGAGGGCACGCACATCTCGGAGCCGCAGAGCGTGCAGACGCAGTGGGGCTTTGCCGAGGGCCTGCGCGGGTATGGTCCGCAGGTGCAGTAGGGGAGAGGGCGAGGGAATGGCACAGTGCTTTGATTCTGCGCATAGAGGCTGCCGTCCTTCGAGCGTGCGGCACGGCACACGCCGAGAGTGAGCGCCTGGTCGGGTGAGCTGCATACACCGTGCCACGCCGTGAGCGGGCATGAATGCGAGGCATACAGGCTCAGTCTGTGCGTGCCGTCAACGAGAGCATCTATTACGCCGCGTCTAGCCACATCTATCTCTGCCTGTCCTGGAGAACGCTCGTCCATACAAAATCACTGTCCTTCCCCTCGCCTCACGCCATGTTCTCCTCCCTCCTTGCAGCACACGGCCGCACGCGCACGCGGCCGCCGCCCTCGAGGATACGCGCCGCCTGCGTCGCCGTCACGTACCAGCTGAGCCCCTTGCGAGCGCCGACGGGATCGCCGGCGGCGCGGTACTTGAGCGCGCGCATCGACGAGACAAAGGGAAGCACCTGCGCGTGCATGTGCAGGTGCGGCACGGAGCGGAACGGCGGAATCTGAGCAGTGCACGAATGCGTAGGACAGCGCGGACGGTGAAGAGCTCGTTAGCTTAGCGCCTGGCACCTGCAGCTAGCCCACTCACATGAAAGCCAAAGCGCCGCTCGCCCGGCACGCCCTTGCCTGCGCCGCCATCGGAGAAGCTCGACTGCTGCGCCTCGAGCACGTCGAGCGCCTCGTCGGCGAAGCGCTGCAGCGCGCGCACTGCGAGGGGCCGTGTCAGCAGTGCCTGAGGCCAAGACATGCGCAGCGTCGTGCCGAGGCGGGGGGCAGCCAGCGCTAGTACGAGCTGCGTCATGATTGAACGCAGCGCACGAAGAGCACTGAAGTAGAGCGCGAAGCAGCGGTGCCACTGCCAAGAGCTCATGGCAAGCGGACGCTCGAGGACCTCTTGTGCAGCACTGGCAGAGCGGTTCGTTG